GGGGGGGGGGACTAGATGATATAGGATATTATACTGGACCCGGTTTAATGAATAAAGCGGATACATATTGGAGGATAAGCCCACTAAGACATCTGAGCCCAACGATAGGGGTCACGGCCCAAAAGGTATATTCCCCCTATAAAAGGGGGCCAAGGTACCTCATTCTCTCACTCTCTACATTCATAATTACTCTCTTGGAATTTGGAGTCTTGGAGTGACACTGACTTAGGCATCGGAGGCCCGACGCCGGGACCACCCCCGTCGTTGGGTTCTTGCAGGTACGGAGACCGGTCGAGCTGAAGGAGCCCGGGTGAAACTTATTCACTTCATATACTATCTCCTATTATTTTTAAATATCATTTTGGTATTATCAACTATTAACAAAATAAATGTCGTTTTGGATATTTTATATATATTTTTCCATTATGACTCTCATCTAGCTAATAAATACACTACGTTTTTTTTTTATATTAACTCTTCATCTTTTCTGAAAGCATTCATCTTTATCCTCATTAAATGTTATCTTTATTTTTTTTGAAACAAATATTATCTTTATTTAAGTTAATACTTCATTTGAGATTTAAAATCTTTTAAACAAATAAAAATAGTTTGTTACTTCGCATAAATATATATTATCGAACTCGAGACTTATTGGTCCTATGTGAAGAGTGCTACAAACTGAGCTACCCCTTTTCGTCAGAAATGTGACTTTTGTTTTTGGTAGCCATCCACGGTATTCGGAATTTAGCCCCGATTAATCCGTTGGTCGACCCGGGTCGTACACCTGGCAATGGTGGGTGAGTCTTCCAACAAGGGTATTCTGCATTTACAAGGACTCGAACCCGAGACTTTACTTAAGCTACATCAAGCTGCTTACCACTTGAGCCAACCCTTGTTGGTTCAGAAATGTGACTTTAATTTCCCATCATTCCAAAACGTTTTTTTCTTTTAAAAAAGAGAAAAAAAAGAAATGGAAACGAGAAATTAATAAAAGTGCAGTTGTTACTATTTATAATATTATAAAGGTAGAGAAGGGGACGAGCGTATCATAATATTTATATCATTTATCATTGAACAAAAGCCCAAATCGTGAAGCACACAAGAAAAACTGCATTCATTTGGATTGTTTGTGTGTAGACGTGGCCCATTGTCGGGCCGGCGGATCTCAATTTCATGGCCGGCGGACCTCAATTTCACCGATCCGGCGAATTTCGGGCCGGTACAAGCCATAAAAAAATTGAGGCCCGTCTTCTAACCTGCGACCCGGCTCGGTCCGGACATGTGGACAAAAAATAAAAAAAAAATTACGAACTGAGATCGAACCGCAACCCTGCGGGTCCAGTTCAACGAAGTGGCCCTTAGGAGCAAAGACCGACCTGTACTAGGTCTAGGGGGACCCATGGGCCCCCAGATTTTTTACAATCATTACATATATATATATATATATATGTAGATTTTTTTTTAAATATATTAATAAATAAAACTTATTTTTATGCTATTTAATATAAATTAATAATATTATTTATTTATTAATAATTTACTAATAATCCTTATATTTTACATTTCTAGAATTTTTGAAAATATTTATAATATTTTAGTCTTTCGGTCTCTTAATTGTAAATCGATTTAGTGATTTATTAAACTCAGTATTTAATTAGATTATTATATTTTTAATATTGTTTTTTTAGTTTTTTTTTCCTCGTGTAATAACATATTTTTAAGTTTACTTATTTTCTATTTAAAAAAAAATTCATTTGATAAGCTCGTATGAAAATTTTATGCAATGTGCTGCAAAGTGTTCAATTTAAATCAATTTTTCAACAAACGTTATATTTTCCATAACTTGTATGTTGAACTTAAATTATAAATACATAAAATCTCATACTTTTTTGTTTATTTTTTTTATGTGCCGTAAAATGTTCAATTTAAATCAATTTTTCAATAAAAGTATATAAATTTCCATAAACTATATGTTTGAACTTAAATTATAAATACATGAAATCTCATATTTTTTGTTTATTTTTTAAAAAGTTTGAGTGTACTACGAGTTCTAAGTTTTTAAGAACTTAATGATGATATACATATTCATATTTATAAAAATTAAATATATTGTTATATTAAATGAGCGTTTCGACTTAAACTACAAGCTCGTTATAATATTGTAATTGGGTCTCCCTGAGTGAAATTTCTAGATCTGTCACTGCTTATGAGACCGGTTTGGGACCGGTTTCGGGCCGGGGTCGGCACTTGGCCATGCCTACTGTGTGTGTGTGTGTGTGTGGGTGGGAAGGGGAATTTTTTTTTAAAAAAATTAATATTAATACTATACTAATTTAATACCTTATTTTTATGTAGATGAGATTAGACATGATGTGTGGGGGGTCTAATGGTAAATATCGTATGCTGTGGAGGGGTGAAAAAAAATGAAAGATGACATGGGTTGGTTGGGTTGTTTGTTTGAGTGAAATTGTGAGTGTGAGAATGTGACGTAAGAGGAGAACGTGGTTTTACAGTCTGCTGTTGCAGGCTCGTAGACCAAGTAAGCCTATGCATTTGCATTGCATTGCATTGCATTGCATGATTAGGGGGTGTTTGGTAAATTGTACAAAAGTATCTGTCATATTTTTCCTTTTACTCTTCACTATTTTTCTCTAACAGAAACCAACATCATCATCATCACTCTACTTTTTTCGAAGAGAGAGAGAGAGAGAGAGAGAGAGAGAGAGAGTGTGTGTGTGTGTTTGTGTGTGTGATATTATTTCTTTGGAATTTAGTAGTCTAAGGTTTTGGTCTTTCGAGGACTGCAACAGTGCATGCTTTGTTTTATTCCTTCATTTAATTCAACAATTAAAAATATCTCTCTCTTTCTTTACTGCTCCCATCATTCTATTCTCGTTCCTCTAATAAATTCCTTCTTCTTTTTCGTTTCTTTTTTTTTCGGGGTTTTTTTTGTTTGTCTCTGTAAAATGCTGATGATGATGATGTTCCTCAGAGTCATAGGGCACCAATGATGGACAACCCTTTTTTTCCTTATTTTGCAGTTGCAGGGAAAAAGTGATTTTTCTTAAAGTTGTTGCACAAAACAGGCAGTTCATCAGTCATTGTGTGTGTGTGTGTGTGTGTGTACGGTTTCGCTTTTTCTTGGGTTTCCATTTGATTCCTCTTTTCTCATAAGAGCACCCACAATGCTTTGGGTCTCTTAGAAAAAAGTTACATGCCATGTAAGAAATAGTCCTAGTCTATAAAAAAGTGTTCTCCAATGCAATTAAAAGTGGACCTAGTCTAGCTTATGTGGCAATACAAAAATGAGACCTAGTCCACACTTGGGTCTATTTTAGACCCAAGTACAAACCCAAGCACTCATCATTTATTCCTCATTTAATTTTTCTTTTAATAAATGAAATATATTAGAGCATTTTTATTGGTTGTCATGTATTCTAGACCTAGTACTTTTTTGTTTTGCATTGGATAGATTTTGGATTTTTTAGTTTGGGTTTGTCCATGTCATTATCGACTTAAGTCTATTTATTTGCCACATATACAAAAAGAGACCCAAAGCATTGTGGATGCTCTAAGAGAATCCTTCTCTTTAATCTTTCTTCTTTTTCTTCTTATATTTCTTGGAAAGTTTTGAAAAAGTTCCATGTAAACTTGAACAATAGGATTGGTCTCAGATATGGGTGAGCATAAAAGGCAAGGTTACCATATGTTGGCCCTGAAGGTGAATGAACAAATGGGCACAAAGAAGAAGTATTCTTTGGGGCACAAAGCTTCAAATCCCAGAGTCCTGGGGTTTTGGGTCATGTTAATCCTGTTTGTGAGCTCCTGCGTGTACGAGCACATGGACGAGGAGCAGAGAGAGAAGAGGAAAGAAGTTCTTGTTAGCATGTGTGAGCAGAGGGCAAGAATGCTGCAGGACCAATTTAGTGTCAGCATTAACCATGTTCACGCACTAGCCATTCTTGTCTCTACCTTCCATTTCTACAAGAACCCCTCTGCAATTGACCAGGTTTATTTGTTATTCCCATTTAATTTGTGTGTTTGTTCCTTTTTCACATCCTTTGTTCTGGGTTTTGCTCTAATTTTGGTAAATGCAGGAAACTTTTGCTGAATACACGGCGAGAACTGCTTTCGAGAGACCACTGTTGAGTGGTGTGGCGTACGCGCAGAGGATTCTTCTTTCGGAGAGGGAGGAGTTCGAGAGGCAGCACGGCTGGACCATTAGGACAATGGAGAAAGAGCCTTCGCCTGTTAGGGACGAGTATGCTCCAGTGATATTCTTGCAAGAAACCGTGTCCTACATTGGGTCACTTGATGTGATGTCAGGGGAGGTACTAGGATTCTTAAAGTTTTCTGTAATTACTACTTTTCTTTGTGATGATATTTGTTTCTGATATGGGTTGGAAAACATATATATATTATATTTTCTATCTTCTGATTGATGATCGCTTACACAGGAGGATCGTGAGAACATACTGAGGGCCCGGGCAACGGGTAAAGCAGTTCTTACTAGTCCATTCAGGCTGCTAAACTCTCATTTAGGGGTCGTTTTGACTTTTCCGGTCTACAAATCCAAGTTGCCACCGAATCCAACTGTGGAAGAGAGAATTGAACTAACAGCAGGGTAAGCACGACGACTCGTCTTTCATGTCTTGAATTGTAGTTTTTGTGCTCCTCCTCAAGGAGCATTTTGTTGTACTCTCGCGATACTTTTTTGTTATTGATTGCTTATTGGTCCCCGAAGCAAAGTCTGTCAAATTTTTAATTGATTTGTCACAAACAGAACATTCTTGGGATTGCCAAATATGTCAGTTTTTCTGCTAAATTATATGTGTGTATTATGCCCGTCCGTTGCCATTTGAACATTTTGTCCATTTATGAGGGCCAATCCGTTGAAGAATGTTATGTCTTTGTGTACTGATGGCATTTTCTATAAAACTCCCCCGGCAACGAATACTGATGTTAAAAAGTACACCAGCCTCGTCCACTTGTCAGTGTTGTGCTTGATGAAGTTTTACAAGTTTGTATGATTAAGGATGCATCTGTATGTGTTGTGCATAGTAATCATTAACTCACGTGTTCATCTGAAGAGTGAAAACATCTTTTACTTTTTAACCTTGTATGCTTTAATTGTGTTACTTTACGTCGAGTAGGTACCTCGGTGGAGCCTTTGACGTTGAATCCCTTATCGAGAATCTACTGGGACAACTTGCAGGGAACCAGGCTATAGTTGTCAATGTATATGATGCTACCAACTCATCTGACCTGTTGATCATGTATGGGCACCACCCTCAACATGGTGACATGTCACTCAAGCATGCGAGCAAGCTCGACTTTGGTGACCCTTTTCGTAAACACGAGATGATTTGTCGGTAGGTGTTAGATGCCACTGACAACATCTTTTTCTTTCTTTCTTCCTTTTTCTTAAGAAAAAAATAAATAAATAAATAAATAAATTATGAAGATATTATCACGGGAGCCATGGACTTTGATATGTAGGTATCTCCAAGAGGCTCCCACATCATGGCATGCACTTCAAACTGCTGCCCTCGTTTTTATGATTGGCTTCTTGGTCGGATATATGGCATATAGTGCACTAAACCACATTGTCAAAGTCGAAGATGATTTCAATAAGATGCAAGAACTCAAAGTTCAAGCCGAAGCTGCTGATGTTGCCAAATCTCAGGTTTACCATTCAGTGTCTTATGTTCCTCAACAATATAGTTGCTATCTGCTTCTCAGTTTCTTGACAACTTGGACTATTATTTGATGTGCAGTTTTTAGCCACTGTCTCTCATGAAATACGAACTCCTATGAACGGGATATTAGGTAAACTTTAGCCTCTCTCTCTCTCTCATGAAATATATTTTCTTTAAAAGAACATATATATTTCTTAAGTATCTGTTTTTTTTTTTCTATTATTATAAAATACATCTTATCATTAGTGGCAAGTAGAAGGTCAATACAGGTTGTTTCTTGTATTTGTAGGGATGCTACAATTGCTGTTAGATACAGAACTTAGTTCAACACAAAGGGACTTTGCTCAAACGGCTCAGGGTTGTGGTGAAGCACTGATAACCTTGATAAATGAGGTGCTTGATCGTGCAAAGATTGAAGCCGGAAAGCTAGAGCTTGAAGTTGTCCCGTTTGACCTGAGGTCAATTCTTGACGATGTCCTCTCCTTGTTTTCCGAGAAATCTAGGCAAAAGGGCATCGAGGTGTGGCTGCAGATACTGATGTGTATCTTTACGTTAAGGTTTTTCAGGTTATAATATGATTAACCAGAAACTGCAGTTGGCTGTTTTTGTCTCAGATAAAGTGCCCGAAATCGTGTTGGGGGATCCAGGAAGATTCAGGCAGGTCATCATCAATCTTGTTGGGAACTCAGTAAAAGTAAGTCCAAATTCTAGGATTAAAATGGATTCATGTGTCTATCATTGATAAATTGTGTTTTATTTAAGCATGAAGTGAATATCAGAATCTAATTTGGCTTATATAGTCGCCCTTGGGAAATTCTAAGAACCTTTTTTTTTGGATTAGAAACCAATAGACGAGACTTGTTTCCTTATAGAAATCATAAATTCCGTATTGACGACGACATAGCCTGATTTCGGTCTTTAGCTTCTGTAGTAATTTTACTTTTATAGCATATTGATGGCAGACAATATAAGGAGATTATGAAACGACTATCTTAATAGGACGGAGGTTTTTACACGAGGCCTTCTTTTCCAGTTCTCACACTCATGTGATGATCTGTTTTTAATTATATTTTTGTCTTTGCTTTTTGTTTATTAACAGTTTACTGAGGAAGGACATATATTTGTCCAAGTCCACCTGAGCGAGCAATCGAAACCCACGAAAGATGCAAAACTCGAGAACCTCTCGAATGGAGAAGCTGAAGCCACACCAAAATCCTACTCCCGGCCATTCAACACACTTAGTGGCAAACAAGCAGCCGATAACCGGAGCAGCTGGGAAATCTTGAGGCAGTTGGACGAGGAGTTGTTATACGATCCTTGGGGCAACGCAGCAAATGTCAATAACCCCAAAAGTGAGAGTGTGTCCTTGACGGTGTGTGTGGAGGACACGGGGATTGGCATACCCGAGCAGGCACAAAAACGGGTGTTCACGCCTTTCATGCAGGCTGACAGCTCGACTTCCAGAAACTACGGAGGAACTGGAATTGGGTTGAGCATAAGTAAGTGCCTCGTGGAGCTGATGGGGGGCCAGATGAGGTTCATTAGCCGCCCTCAGGTCGGGAGCACATTCTCGTTCACGGTGGAGTTCCAGAGTTTTGAGAAAAGTGAGGTTAATAATTGTGTGAGTAAAACTGTTTCGAATGAGCTGAATGTTGCCCTGAAAGGGCTGAGAGCAGTTGTTGTTGATGGAAATCCTGTTAGGGCTGCTGTTACTAGGTACCACCTAAGGAGGCTTGGGATTCAGGCAGAGGCCGTCTGTAGCATCCGGGCAGGGTATGCTAAACATGGATCCCTTATTTCTAATTAAGCATTTTTAAAGCATTGTTTTTTTTTTTTTAATGATTTTGTTTCTCTTTTATTTTTCCTTAATACATTACAACAGCAGTGAAAAGGTAGCAGACATGTTTCTTGTGGAGAAAGACACATGGATAGAAGAAAACGTGCCTACCAGTGTGCCAAAAATGATACTCCTTGCAACCAATATTACAGCAGCAGAGTCAGAACGAGCCAAGGCCGCTGGGTTTGCGGAGACAGTGGTAATGAAACCGTTGCGGTCGAGAATGGTAGCAGCGTGCCTGCAGCAGGTGCTCGGAATAGGTCAGAAATGCCAGCATGGGAGGACCGGTGGACTTGGGAGACTTCTGAGTGGGAAGAAGATACTTGTTGTGGATGACAATATGGTGAACCGGAGAGTAGCGGCCGGTGCTCTCAACAAGTTTGGAGCCGAGGTGAGGTGCGTGGAGAGTGGCCACGAGGCGCTTGCCTTCCTCCAGATACCACATGATTTTGATGCTTGCTTTATGGATATTCAGATGCCCGAGATGGACGGGTATGTTACTCAATGTTTTACGTCCGATTTTTTCTTGCATTATAACGCTCAAACATTAACTTTGGATGCTCATACCTTGTTGATACAATTTCTATCAATGTAGTATCTTAAGCTTTCCTAATTAAACTATTGGAAACAACTCTAAAGTGAACGACATTTTTGGTAATCCAAGAAACAACAAAGAGTTATTTCATATTCGTTGAAAATGAAATACGTGGGTTTTCCTCTTTTTGGTTCAGTTTCGAGGCAACTCGTCTCATAAGGGAGATGGAGATGAAAGCGAAGATGCAGAAGAATGGGGAGTGGCATATACCAATTCTTGCAATGACAGCTGACGTCATACACGCCACTCTGGACAAGTGCCTGAAATGCGGCATGGACGGGTACGTGTCCAAACCATTCCAGGAGAAAACCCTCTATCAAGCTGTAGCCAAATTCTTCTCATCTCACAATAAAATAAATGCCAACCCGATGGATTGGCCTTGACTCATTATTCATTTGACCGCTGAATTTGTTACAAGCTCACATTGTACGTTAGCTGCTTGTATCGTTTCTGACTAGGTGCATGCATGATATGTCTACTTTGGTTGTCCCCACAAGACAGCAAATGTCTTGGTGTGTATATTTGTAGGAAAAGAGAATCTGAAGGTGTAAATTTCTTTAGCCAATTCCGGTGTGTCCCCTATTCTTCATGCTAGAATGTAGAGAGAAGCCATTGTTCCCACTCACTCTTGTATCTCAGGATTATGTGTCCCTGCTCACTCTGGGCATTGGCATCAGCTTGCTTGCAATTTCCAAATGATACATTAGTTACAATATGGGTCTCATATTGGCCTATTGCTTATCCTTTTCTTGTGGATTATGAAGGTTTGGTTTAGTTACAACTTATAAGATTTAGTCTAAGTGTTTTTTTTTTTTTTAAAAAAAAAGAACTACTTATCCTTCTAACTGCAAAAGGAAGTACTGATTAATAGAATTTAGGATCTTTTGATACATACTGTAACTTGCAAAAGGAAAGATACATCAGAAATGTAAAACCGAAAGATACATGAAAAAAATCTTAGAAAAACAATGAATGAAAAATATAGGCAGTACATCATTGGTAGTATTGTATGATTTGTTCTAGAACTTCTATAGAAAATATCAGACTAGAAGTTTCAACTTTTAGCTTTAGTCGCTCATTGTGTGGCTAGGTGCTGATTTTTTTTCTTTCTTTTTTTTTTTTATTTATTTTGTATTTGGATAAAAGAAAAATGCTACAAGTACATAATAAATGTACATAGAGTCGATTTGATGTGAAGTGCACTTGATTTTTTTTTTTTGGTAGGACCCACTTAATGTAAGTGTTGTGTACACTTCAATGCACATTATTATGTATCTATACCATTTCTCTTTGCTTAATGTTTTGAATAATGCTTTTGGAAAATTAAATGCAAAAAGTATAATGATTCTTGGATGTTTCTTTTTATTTTTTTTGGTCGAAACGATTGATGAAACTCAATAACAAGAAGAAAAGTACAATGTTCAGTTACAACCCAGGTGCTAAGTCCCAACGCAAGTCGGATACACTAAGAGAACTACACAGTTATGACTTATGACCTAAAGAGAAACAACCATCAAACCAAACATAACCAAATGCTACTAGTATAACAGTGGACCCTTCAACTACAATGATCCCGAATCTTTTTATTACATATTGTTCAATTTTAGTTCCATAAATAACAAGTTCAATTTATTCCTAGTTCTATTTATTATTTTCTAGCAGTTAAATTGATTAATAAATTCTAAGTCTATGCCATGGAGGATCCGTTGGATTTTTAATAATTAATCGAAATACGCCCCACTTTTATTTGCCGAAAAACAGAATAAATTTTTCAAAATTTATTTCAAAATCATTGTGGCGTTACTTATTTTTCAAAGCAGATCTCAATAATCAATAATAATTTCCAGAACTCAATAATCAATCATGAAACATCAATTATCAATCCAATACCCAAACCGGGTGTAATGCCCCACTTTTATTTGCCAAATCTCAAGATAAATTTTTTCAAAATTTATTTTAAAAAACACTTGAGGCGCTACTCATTTTCAAAAACCAATATCAATTTCAAACAATCATCAATATTCATTTATCAATAATTAATAATCCGAAATAACCCAATTCAATAATCAATACTCATAAAATCCTAGGGAAAACATCCTCTAACAATAATCCAGCAATCGAACGAAACAATAATAGCAATAATTCAGTTTCAAGCGGAAGCAGTAACAATTTATTATGACCACACTCGCTTCCCTCAGCCGTGCCCGCAACACTAATCTGCATACATGAAGAGTAGATGTGGATGAACATAAAAGGAAACAGCAGTGCTCACCGCTATGCGATAAATGTTAATGTCAATAATCAACAATAATCAATAATCAAGCGGTATGGTCTCAACATGTATACGAAACAATAATCTATCCCATTCTCCCATCAATAATCACAATAATCAGACTCATGTGCACACCTACACATAGACTACTGCTGACTATATATCGAATGCCCTCCATCCCTACATCGAGTGCCAACCAGTAGGAGTAAACCACCCCACCGGCCCAGGCCTTGCCTTGGACTTACCAATGAGGATCACCGGCCGAGGGACCTAAGCCCTGGTCTTACGACTTCTCAAGGAAGACTACCCGAAGGTACGTTCTATAGCTACGGGGACAACCGTCCGGTGGCGGATACAGCTTGTACCGAAGGCTACATGATTCACATGCATACTTTGATCATACCACAAATAAACAGTAATAACATTTAAGGCATAGTACTTTTTAAATTAAAACCCACCTGATGTCGGATGATAAATCAAAATAACCAGAAAGTCGTAGATGATTGAGACACTGCTCGTCAGACACCTACATAAGTCAAGACAGTTCCATAAGCAACTATCTCGACTCTTACATAGATAACGAGAATTATACTTAGTCGAATCACATCGACTAAGAAACTCGTGGAAGTTGTGGAGATGGACATTAGGACGACTCCTAGACTCGACCAACCAATTATTAAATTATATAAAAGCAGGCAATGAAGGTTTGACACAAAAACGGGGTCAACGGGCCAAGGATTTGCCAACAAGGCGAGCCGGTGCCCAAAACGGGTTAAAAGGACTAGTTCGAATTTATAAGAATATGACCATAAGGAGTTAGACTTGGACATTACAATTCATATTTTTACAGCACATAAAGAGCTGAAAAACACACATTTTTCACCAAAGGAAAGCCCCTAAACATGCTCCTAACCAATTTAAATAAATCAAGTAAAAACTGACCAGAAATCGAATTAAATTTAAAATAGATATAGTCCAAAATTAAATTTGAAATTTTTACAGCAACAAGATATCATGTAGAAAAGAAACATATAAACATTTTAGCCATTTTGGACAAGAACTCGATTTTATATGAATTTATTAAGAAACAACCCAAAAATGGTTTTCGAGTTTTGCCGAGGCTACAGGCCATATAAAAATCTCAAATTTTAACTACAAGTAATATAACAGCAAAATAACCACATATCCAAACATCAGAATTTTTGGAGCAATACAAGATTTATAGTGATTTTTGCAAAAACCGGCTACAACATGATTTTCAAAAATTCATATCTTACATTATACACATCGAAACGACACAATGCCAAAGCCATTGCGTCAAGGACATTCCTAAGTCAAATAATCCACATTATTTATACGGAATATACTACGGTAACCTCAAATCGACAATTTTCCAAAGTGACGGCAATCACTTTGGTATCCAATTTGCACATATATATCAATAATTACACAAGATACTTATCTAAGGCACGAATTTGTTTGAAATTCATACGTTCAACACTAACAACATATATACGAGCACCTAAACAAATACAGGAGCGAAATAAATAAATTGAGGGTTAGCCCGGTACAGTTATCGGGACACGTTTGAAAACGGGACGAAGGAGCAAACGACACGACGGAGGTGACTTGCGGAGGAGGCTCACGGTTGCTGTTGGCTCGAACGGGACCTCGAACTGCAGCACGACGGGAACAACGAAGCGAACGCAGGACGTCGGAGAGGCTGCCTGCGGGGCCTGGTCTCGACGGGGTTGCATGACTCGGCTCGCGTGAACGGAGGTTGAGGGTCACTGGTTGCTGCTCCGGTGGTTATCTGCTGATTCACGGTGGCCGGGACAACGATGATAGCGGACGAGTAACACGCGAACAAAGGGTACGAGTGCCGACCAGGAAATACTCGCGATGCTTGAGACCTTGCGATCAGGGAAGCGGGACTTGCCGGAAAACTCCGATCTGCTCGCGGGATTGATTCTCGACAGCGAGGGCAACAAGAGGACAGCGGCGATGGACGACGTCTGACCTCGGTTGCACGACGGCGGTGGCAGCGTGATGATGAGCAGGGGCTGCGCCGGATATTAATATGGTGATGATGGGAGACGATGATAATGGAATGAAGAGGACGATCGAGTTTTTGTTTTCTCTGAACAGAGGGAGAAAGACGATGGGTAAGGGAAAAGCTGCGGGATGATTTCTTGAGCTAAGGGTTAGATCAGATAAATAAAGCTGCGGGAGGATATCTGATGCATATAACTGCATAGGGTTCCTCACATACACATTAGGTTAAGTTTGACTTGCCCTTCAAAGAACACACACACACACACGTACGAGAGAGGGAGAGAGAGGAACCGGGTCTGGCTCGCCCGGTTCGACTCTCTCGGTTCATAATTAAATAGATGAGACTCGGGCTCGGTTCATCGTGAGATAAATTAAAATAATAACCGGATATTTATATATATATATATATATACACACACACACACACACACACACACACACACATATATATATATATATATATATATATGACACATTATAATATTAATCAATAACACATTAGGCACATAAAATCAATTAGGCAACTTTTAGAAATTTAATATAAATAAACACATTTTAATTTAATATAATGATGGGTCTATTCTCGGATCTAGGGTGAACCGGTGGAAAATCGCACGGATCTGGAATGAACCGATGAGAACGAGCTTAGAATCTGTCTTGATGGTCTCCAAATTGCTATCGAACCGCGAGAACACCTGCAAGAACTCAACGCCGGAGGGATTTCCAGCTTAGAGCCTCCGACGCTCAAGTCAGTATGTGAAAAGAGTGAAAAGAGCTGCTCTGAGGAAGCAGCAGCAATGGAGGAGAATGTGAAATGAATGGGAGTTAGGGTTTTGGAGTTACCTCAGCTCCTTTATATAGAAGTAAAACATTTACCTGAAGTCCCCAAAATGGCCTGGCCGACTTACTGGAAATGTCCAAAATATCCTGGTCGGTTCGCATTCCGTCCACTTCCTAGTCAGCATCTAGATTCTTCCTTATCTTTGGTAGCTTCCTTCTTATCCTTAACAACTGTCCTTCGATATGTTGAAGTGCACTGGAGTCGTCGAGATCTTA